ATAGGGATTATCATTTCAATTTTTGGGGTGTTTCTTAAGCAAATAGTAGTAAACCAGAACCTCCCTCTACATCCCTGCTGACACACAGAAACTTAACGCACTCCGACGGAGTAGGTGGCGTCTGCCTGGGCGGTTTCTAAACCTAGCGGTGGCTTTGGTAAGTGTCAAAGCGTCTGAGGTCTATTATACAATACTTCTGTAATACCGCAACCCTTCACACTCAGGTCCGCAAACCCCGGAGCCTACGTTGAAGATGGCGTCTGACAGGGTCCCTAAACCTTCAAACCCTTATAGCCGTAGTTTCTACACTCCCACTTTGGCTGCAAGGCTTGAGCCTTCACGCATGGGGCAAAGCATCAGACAGCTTCGAACAAAAATTTTAAAAAGAACAACCGCCTGAATAGACGGTGTGCCTAAACAACCACATGCGTGGCTGTCAACCTTAGGGTCCCTTTTTGGGGTCCTTATTATAATATAATACGGCACCTAATATTTAGGGTCCCCAAAAAGGGACCATAATTTGGACAACCACCCACATATGTGATCGATTCGCCACGGAATGGAATCAGGATTCAAGGCTTGAGGATTATTCGGCTGATGCAACCAAAACACCACAAAACAAGCGAAATAGCTTCTTACCGTGCCGGGGTCCTTGCATTTCGTTTAGTGCACAGTTCGTTTCTGTCGGGAGTGGGCATAAGCTTATCATAAAGGTTTCCGGGGAACCTGAAAGCTCTTCCGAGCTTAGGCCCGACTAGTGGAAGCCCCACAATCCCCTATCGAATGCCTGCAGAGCAGAGTATCTCCCAGTCACATGCATACGTGCTGCACTCGAGCAATTGCGGGTTCCATGGCAAATCCCCAAAGCAATTTTGGCTTCCGTGCGCGCTGGCAGCAGCCTATCACAGCTGCCGATGATACATTGTCTCTAACCCGAAAGTCTGATCTTCCTGGCTTCGGGCATGTGCTCCAACAACTATATTCAGCTATGTACAAGGTACACTGATCTTGAAGGCCCTCCAAACGATTATAACAGCGTGTTTTGGCTCTATCAGATGAGGCTGGCCGCTGAGGGCGCAAGATGGTGATGGACATCTGATGCAGGGTTTGTGCTGCTTGTCTCATCACAAGATATGCATGCATCAATACGTTTCCAAAAGAAGCCGATTGCACTCAAACTAAAGCTTAGCCAGGACGGGTCTCTCGTGTTTTGGCTCCTTTCGCATTCCGAGCTCGGAAACGGACGCGACAAATGACTGATGATACACCCTAAACTCCAAAGCCTAAACCCCAAAGCCTGAATCCCAAAGCCTAAACCCCAAGTCCAAAACCCCAAATCCTAGACTCCAAACTTAGTAGCCACGAAAGTATGCGGCCTTGAAAATTTCGCTGCTTCGGCTCAACTTCTTAGTTGTTGAATTCATACGCCCCCCAAAGTGCAAACTTGTAGTTCCATAGTGGGTAATATTTTCAGTATCCAAGAAGTAAAGTCTATCCACACAGCTACTGTACTAAGACATAAAGATTTTTAGTTTCGACCGGTTTGCACTCGAAGCACCGCCTGTAAGATTGGATCTCTGGTCTTTGGTTTTTGGGACGGCGCCTGGGATTATAATCGATAGGTGTGTAAACCCTTGGGTCCAATTACCATTTCAGCCGGCTCTTAGTGCATATTTGGGCGAACTTGGACCCTTCGAGACATTGGCGCCATAGCTACCAGTAGTTGCAAGACATGTTGCGGCATGCAGCCGCTGCCGACAATGCTCTAAACCGAACACGCAGCCCCAACCCCTACAAAACAGCAGGTTATGACCTCTCAGGTACAGGGTTTCAAGAAGCTGGATAACTAAGTAGTCATTCGGTGGATAATATAAATCCAGCATTACCCATAATAAGGAATATCCCATAGTTCCCATAGTTTTGGGTCCTTAGGGTAATGCAGGATTTGTATCATCAACCGTTAGGCTACTGGCAGTCCTCGAACACAAGGACAAGGTTCAAATCTCTTCGGACTTGTGAACCCCGTATTCTGCAAGACCTAGCGTGCTATGCCGGACAGAAAATGCCTAAACACGGAGCTAACCCTAAACCCCAAACCCCTAAGTACCCCTTTGCGGATATGACCCTCGACTTATGTAAGCAGGTACATCGAGGCTCCCTCCTCAAATCAAAGCACCTATACTTATTGTAGTTCCGAAACGAAGAGTTTCTTCGAGCTGCGGGACGCTAAGCAACAAGTGCCCGCAAGAGTCAACCACATTCGCGGCGACTTTTAAACAGATACCGCTGTATTCCTTTGCAGGATTCCTTCACACCTAAGCCGGCCTCCTCTGAGAAAGACATAGAAAACGCAGCTCAATTCATGAAGCGAGAAACCCTGAAACCCAGAACCGGACCAACCTGAGCAATTTCTGCTTGGTGGTGAAGTTGCGTGGCAGTGGTGTGTGCGAGTCTTTGTCATAGTCGTCCCAGGTAGTAGGTAGTAGGTAATAGCAATTAGGTTGTCGGTAAGAAGGACTACTAGGAGGTAGGTAGTGGGTAGTAGGTAGTAGGTAGTATATAGTAGTGTGTAGGTAGTAGCTCGTACGTGGTCGGTGGTAGAAAGCAGCTAGTAGGTAGTAGGTCGTTGGTAGTAAGTAGGTTGTAGGTAGCAAGTCGTAGTATGTAGCAGGTGCAAGTAGTAATAATAGTAGTAGTCGTATTCGTAGTAGTAGTAGTAGTAGTAGCAGCAGTAGTAGCAGTAGTAGTAGTAGTAGTAGTAGTAGTAGTAGTAGTAGTAGTAGTAGTAGTACTAGTAGTAGTAGTAGTAATAGTAGTAGGAGTAGTAGTCGTCGTCGTGGTAGTAGTAGTAGTAGTAGTAGTAGTAGTAGTAGTAGTAGTAGTAGTAGTAGTACTAGTACTAGTACTAGTACTAGTACTAGTCGTAGTATGCAGTCGTCGTGGAAGTAGACGTAATATTGTAGTCTTCGTCGTGAAGGTAGCAGCACATCGAACACATCCGTATGTCCAGCAAAAAATTCTGCTCCCCATGTCTTTAAGGAATGCAGCTTACTTTGATCGGGCTTCATTGCCGAGGTGTTGGCAGAGTCGGCTCATGGCAAGCTTGCTTGATCGCCATTTGGTACCCGAATAAAGGTGTCACCCCTGAACCCTGACGAGCTGTTTCGCTGCAGGCTGAAAATTTACACACAAATTAAGCGTCAAAGCTAATCACCGGTAACCATCGTCTTAGCATGTTCCCTAAGGGTCCATGTACCCATATAGAGATACATGGGCCCCAATGTACCTATATAGGGACTACATTAGGGTCAATGTTATACTATATGAGTACATGGACCCTTAGGGGTTGGATTCAGTTTATTCCAGACTGGAACACGCGCAAAAGAAGGATTATTTCGTCTACGGTTCGGCATCCCGGCAGAACTCATTCCGTAAATCTCACCATGGTCAAGGTACCGCCCAAGAGTTGCCCAACGCTAAATCACAATGCCAATTCCCGAAAGGCAAAAAGACACGCCCTGCCGAGGATCAGAACTCGGCAACCAACCCTCACCCCCTGTTGGAACCCACTCCAAGCGCGAAGTTTGCCAAGCTCATGCCCGAAACAACTCCAGGGAACCATAACACTGCTTAGCAAGTACTGTAGCGTACGGTGTTGGTAATATGTCTGTGCCGATATCCAGCAATGCTTCGGAACAGTGGCACTGCGAATAAAGACTTGAAGCTCGGCCGTGCAAAGTCGTTCTGCACTACATGTAAACTGAAACCGTAAACCGCGACAACTGTCGGCACCCAAACTGGGTGCCTTTGAACCCCGAAGCAAGGGCAAAAAAAAGCCGCCTTTTAGGTTAGATGGCCAGGCCTGGGGGCTCGGGGTTTAGGATTTCGTACTTACGATTAGGCTCGGGTCCATGTTTCAGCTTGGAAGTTGGTGGAAGTCCTTCCGTCAATGCTCCGTGTCCTTTGTGGCTAAAGGATTTTCGAGAGTGTCTTCGCAAATGCTAGGCCCCAACGCATGGGCGCATAAGCATGCTGCATGCTTTTTGGTGTTGTGAAATTCTACCATCTTGCACCCAACTCTGCCACAGGCGTGCCGATTTCGCTCACGGCCGACGCTTGTAGTCGGTCGGGGAGGTGTTGTAGCACGTCGATCTACCCTAAATCCTACACCAGAACCTGAACTCTAAACCATCAAGGCATTTAACTCCGAACCCTTCACTACCCTTCTTGAAGGATCCTGGATGTTCCTACACAGAGGGACTATCGTCACGGATAGTTTTATTTCACATGCAACATCCCCGTAGCTTGACTCCCTTCTGCAAGGCTAAGTCGTGCTTTGGGAAACTTGAAGCGCTAAGGTTGCCCGTGTCTCCCCAAGGCAATACAAACCCCCAAACATACCACAAGGCCTATAACAACTGCCTGTTCATGTTTAACAACTAAGCTTCTATATGCTGTAAATACGAAATAACTGGGCAGATGCCATGCCTGATGGATGATTCGGATGTCTAGGAACACACAAACCTCCTAGAATCATCTGCCAAACTCCGCGGCAGTCGGGCCCCAAAGGCCCGAAATGTGGATTAGTTGGGATTTTAAATTACGGTAAGGCTTACCTGAACCCCAAAAGTATGTAGAATAATGGCCTTCTTGATGCATATGACCTACTTTGGTTGGTTTAGGTAGGACTTGTAGGTTCAGCACTTATAAGGCTCATGGTCTAGAGTTGCCAGGGGAAGGTTCAATGTTGAGGGTGTGCTCAAGGGAGGCACCGAAGCAACCGGCATTGGGCTTAAGGTAAGGCTCACTAAGGCGCAGTGAACACTGATATAGAGTTTCGTGGCCCATTCTACCATGATTATAGTAGGGGGCCCCAAAATAGTACCGCCCTTATATTATGTCCCTCCACCCTTAACTTCCCTCAGCCCTAAACAAACCTGAATCCGAAACACTAGACCCGGAACCCAAACCCTCATACCTAAAGCCTGAACTAAGACGCCTCAGGCTTTTGGCCCTGGGCCACGACGGAGAGCTGACACGTCCGGCGCAGGGAGGAGGTCCTAGATCAGATCCAGGGTTGAGGGTTTAGAGTTTACGGGGTTTGGGGTTTAGGGGGTTCGGGGCTCAGGGCAGATGTCTGAAGCTGCACTACGACCTTTGGAACTTTAAGATTCAAGCTCAGAGATGTTCAGGTTAAGGTTCGTTGATGTTGTGTTCAGTAGAATATAACTACTATAGCTGATTTCACAGGCCATCATGTTGGCCAACGAGGCAGGCTGTAAGCCTCGAATAAAAGGATGTTCAGCGGAACAACAAGCGCACATGTGACCGTGACATTTCTGTCCATTGGTCCATGGATTTCACACTCATGTAGGTGGTCGTCCACACTAGAAACCCCTTTTTTAGATCGCAGAGTATAGGCTGCTCTGAGAAGAAACTGCACAACCCTTAATGCAAGTCGAAAATCAAAATGCCCCAACCTCCAACCCTGGACCGGAATATGCCCTCGTACCCAGCTTTGCATCCACCATGCTAAAGTCAGGCTGCGCCGTTTTAAAGCAGCCGACAGCAATGAAAATAAATGGAAGACCTGAGGACATCTCGGAGGTCCATACAACTAAATCCCCAGACGGGGGCGCAAATGGTCAGAAGCGTCTTGGCTGCGGCAGATGCCGTACAAACAGCTCAGGCTGATTGCTTAAAAGCTCGTTCCACTGTTGTTGCTGCTTGAGGGCCACGTCGAGGAGGAAATCCGGATGGCGATGAAGAACCAGCAAGTCATCTTTCGTGCCGTTCTTTGCTATACTCACAATGCAGCTCTCGTAAAGTGCATTCAAGCCATGCTTCTGAGCTTGGAGAAGTCGATTGACGGTGGGTGGAAGACGAAGGAGTGTTTGCTCGCAGGCTTGCTTCATGATCTCGACCTGGTAGTAGTCGCTGATTGTCAGGAGTGAATCAACATTTGCTTCGGTGATTTTGTCGTTGCTCCATGAACAAGGTGTAAGCAAGTCGTAGAAGGTCTTGAACTCCTCCTTTCTGGCCACATCCACCTTGACAATGCTTTGCTGTGCTTCCTTCATGCCACTCTCAAGCATGCGATTGAACACGGGAGAAGCCAAGCGAAGCAACTGAGAGCATGCCGGCATGGTGTCCACTCCGAAGTCCAACAGCACGTCACTGACCTCGTCCGCTGTCGCCGTTACTTGGGGCACCTTGGTCTTGGCCCTCTTGGCAGCACGTTCCGGCATGCGGGGCTAGTAAAGCCGCAGATGGAACACACAAACTATGTCTTTCTTGTTTGAACCGTACCTCCATGTGCGTGCATGTCTGCCGACAAGCCTTGGTGAGTCCACACTGCATAAACACCCGAAGACCAATGCTCCATGGACCCATTCAGGAATCTCAAAACTAGGCATGTTGAAATCCCGAAACAGGAGATTGCGGAAAAGCCAGAAACTCCCAGGCGTTTTCACAGATTCAGGATGAGGCGCACTTCAACACAGACCGGATTTAGTTTCTGAGCTTTGAACTCTCAGCCCCGAAAGCCCTGCTTCAAGGTCATGGGATGGTTTTTTGGAGTAGAATTGAAAGTATGGTGGTGGCAGATGCAAGTTTCGGGATAAGAATCAGTTTACAAGCCTGAAGTTCAGGGTTTGCATCTCAGTCTAATTCAAGGCATATTTCTTAGTTGACGGCAAGTAGACCCTCTGCCATAAGAGCCCCTGTGTAAGCTATAATATACAACCCTCAAAACCTGCCGCAAAGCCCAACACACTGACAAAACTGTGTCAAACCTGTACAAACGTCCCATAAATGCCGCCATACACCTTTGTATATCCCTTTCAAAACCCTCATGGAAACTCAATAAACTGAACTGTAACACCCTGCGAGAAAACTGCATAAAACCCTCTACGACTCCATCCATGTACCCATATAGTGTATACTTAGGTCTTAAAGTACCTATATAGGGACCCCTTTAAGGCGTAAGTATCTACTAAGGTACATGGACCCTTTAAGTACGACTCTAAGGGCTCCTGGAAGTCAGTCTTCTTGGGCACGTCGACGAGTCCTAAGATCTCCAAGGAGAAGTCCTTCGAGAGCTCAGGGTTCTGCTTTCTCAAAGTCTACTATTTGCTTAAGAACCCCACAAAAAATAAAAAAAATAATCCCTATATTACCCCATAAGGAATATTTTTTCTATTTTTTGGGGGTTCTTAAGCAAATAGTAGAAGTGCAGTGGCTCTTTTTCAACTCCGCACGCAGAGCAGGTCTTGAGCCACACCAAAAGCACGACCTTGGCAACTTGTCAAAGTCCGCTCCTCGTCATCTTCCGAATCCCAGTCGTCACCGAAGTCAACCTCCTGTCAGGACATTGTTGGGCACCAGTTGCTACCAAAATCCTGAACCCCAACTCTGGAAGCTCGAAACCCAAATTCCGAAAACCAAGATCTCAGGATCTTCGGGTTCATATGGGAGTTTCAGAAATTAGGGGTACATTATTCTGGGGTCCTTATAATAAGGATCCTACTATTTAGGGTACTATATTAGGGTCCCCTATTTTCGGAAACTCCAATCTTATTTTGGATGCAGCATTGCGCATTTTAACCTGCCGAGTCGTGGCCCTAATGCCGGCACGACAGTTCCCCTGCACCATAGCCTTAAATCCCCAACAATGAAGAACGTGTAGGGCCCCTGCGGAATCTAGAAACCCTGCGAAAGCCTTCAATATGGTAGTTTCATGTCGGGGCTGGCTTCTGAGAGCTTGAGGAACCCTAAACCCTAAACCCTACTCGTCTTCGAAGCTGAGCGAGGAGCCTCATCACAAAGTCAGAGCTCTGAATCCCAAACACTAAGGGTCCATGTACCCATCTGGTATGTATTTAGGCCTTAAAGATGTCTGTATACATATACTATATGGGCACATGGACCCTTGGGGAAACACTACCAACCCCACACCTGATGTTGATCTGAGCCCGACACCCACTGCTTACATGGAACGTAACGTAACTCTGGTGTGACACTGTGAGGTGTAGGGTTTGGTATTAGTGTTTCCCACGCAAGGATCAGGATTTTAGGGTATATATCTGGGTCTATATGGCCCAGGATTGAGAGTCACCCTCGGCCCTCTCAACCCCTACTATCAGCCATGCAGTTCCCTGAGACCCGGAAGTGCCTGTTGCATGTTACCGCTGGGCTTTGCCTCAGCCTGGCAAGCACGGACCCTTTCTGTGCTTTCCCGCTCCCCCCAAACGAAAGATTGATCTGAATGCTTGGGTTGTCGACTGTTGGAATGATAACTTGCTGTTTCAAACGTTGGGCTGGGAAGGTTAGTGCGATGGGTGCATACAAACGGCAAGTCATGTCCAGCCTTCACTTGCTTGACTTGTCCTACTGTTCGATCAATATCCACTTTGGGTTAGTTGAGACCTTGGTCTTGCCTTCGGAGCGAAGCTTCGAGAATAGAAACTATTTCTGGGATTTGGTGCTCCGAGCTTAATGCCGAGCAGGGTGTCAATACCCATGAGCTTTCAGATTGTGCTGCATAAATGGGTCAAACTGTATAGCCAGCCTCGAAACCTATCCAAGTCCTAACCCTAAATTCTTAAACCCAGATACTACTTGGAGGGTCGGGGGAAGTAGCAACTGGTTATTATAGGGACTTATAAGTGCCATAACCCCAATCAGGGTCCCTATTAGGGCACTTATAAGTCTACACACTTACTAAGTCCCCCGACCCTCCAAATAGGCCCCCAAACCTGAAGCCCTCTACACCCTTATAGGGAACTCCAGAAAGTTGGAATATGGTTTCAGGGTAGGATACCTTATAATTTACCATAAACCCTAAACCTTATAAACCGTAGGGATAGTCATATTCCAACTTTCTGGCGTTTACCTTATCCTCGCTTCGGGCCACAGGTCTCTGGCAAATGCCGAGTATGAGACCGGCATCTGCTGACTCCCGGGACCACCAACGGATGTATAGAGAGAGAGAGAGAGAGACTATACCCCCGTTAGAACCTTAATAAAAAAACAGTTTTAAATGTTCTTTTGGGTTTTTTTGTGAACAAAAATTGAAATAATTCTTAAAATAACTACAGGAGAGAGAGAGAGAGAGAGAGAGAGAGAGAGAGAGACTATACCCCCGTTAGAACCTTAATATAAAACAGTTTCAAATGTTCTTTTGGGTTTTTTTGTGAACAAAAATTGAAATAATTCTCAAAATAACTACAGGAGAGAGAGAGAGAGAGAGAGAGAGAGAGAGAGAGACTATATCCCCCTTAGAACCTTAATAAACAACAGCTTTAAATGTTCTCTTGGGTTTTATGTGAACAAAAATTGAAATAACTCCTAAGAGTACTACAGGAGAGAAGAGAGAGAGAGACAGAGAGAGAGAGAGAGAGAGAGAGAGAGTATAGCTTCACGCCACAAAATCTACAAGTTGCCTACTCAACTACTAGGTCCTCAGTCCAAGCCCTAGACACGACAACTTAAAAAATACTCTAAACCCTCGCAAGCTGTAGCAAGGCTCAGGCCCATGGGCTCGCGCCGATTTAGAGTCTGTCCATTCGGAACCCTTATAGAACCCCAGCTACTATAAGTCCCATGACCCTTTAAGTAGAGACGGTCGGGCCTTTGGGCCGGCATCCCGCTTGCTGCGCAGGAAGAGCTCTGTGGATCCCGGCCCCGCCTGCGGCACGGAGTGATTTTCATCGTTGCTAGGTTTTGTTTTGGTTTCGGGTTTTGTGCTCGCGTATCTATTGGTGCATGCGTGTATTTGTGAGCTTTTGTGTTTGTGTGTGTGTGTGTGTTTGGAGATCAATTTGCAAGGTTCACGGCTTAAGGGCGCAGAGCTTTGCAGGGGTCTTGGCTGTCGTTTAAGGAGGCTCCAACAGGTGTGTGAAGGCTTCACATGATAGCGGGTGAGAAGGCTCGATCCGGAGACGGAAAGACAATTCGCCCCAGCGCGCCTGATACTCGCCCAGACGATCGAGAAACTGCACCTGAGATTTTTCGGACTTAGGGAGGTCGGGGTTTGGGGTTCAGTGCTATGAACGAACAGAGGGACACAGCTTTGGGATCTGAAACATACTAGGAGAAACCCTACACCATACTCCCTAAACTTATACAGACTCAACTGGCCAGTTAACCCCCAAAGACCTAAACTCTAAAAGACCCTAGAGTCCTAGAGGCCCAGAACCCGCCTCTCGAAAAAATGACAGCTTAAGATGAATGGGCTGCAAAGGCCCTTCACAAAGCATAAGACTCAGTCATCCCAAATAGCCAACCTTGCAAGCCCGCCCCAGTGTCTGTGGCTGTCAACCTCGCGCAATCCGAAGAAACTCAGTTGCCCTAAAAGATAAGAGAACTGACATGATTAACTCACCTCTGTCTCACATAAGGAAACAACACACAATGAGAATTACATGATGGAAGTCGGGTTTTGTTTCGTGTCGCAAACTAAACTCAAAACACACAAAAAGACCCACGGTTTCATGTAATGAAACACACCAGGCATGCGTTCCCTAACCTGTTCTGCTTTTCTGCTTTGTTAATATTGAGTTGGGTCTTTCGCTGTCACCGGGCTGGAGAATACCTTATGGTCAGGGTCTTGTGCCTTCACCTTCACTTCCAAGTACCAACCGTGGTGTCTCTTCCAAGATGGGTAAATGGTGTTCTAAGCAAAGAACCCATGCGAAAGAAGCGAGCACGCGGTTCACTTGATTAAACAAAACTCAGGCACTCACAAAGCCCGAGAACACACCTACTGTCACCTACCAAAGCCCCAAACACTTCAATCCGGAACCCTGAGCCCGAATCTTACATAGAATCAGAACCCAGAGGGTCCAAGTACCCAAATAGTACGGTGTTAGATCCAAAAATCCATACTCTGAATGGTTTTTGGGACCTAAAGCCCTCTTATTTGAGTACTTGGACCCTCTGGAAAAGATCTCGAAACCGACACCACTAAGGCCGAAACCCTGAACCCTCCAAGCCGGAACCCAAGGCCTGAAAACGGTACCGCAGCCCAAGGCACCGGGAGAGCTCCGTGACACTCAGCATAGAAGGAAGCCTGCAGGGAGTAGTCGTAGTAGTAGTAGTAGGAGTAGTCGTAGTAGTAGTAGTAGTAGTAGTAGTAGTAGTAGTAGTAGTAGTAGTAGTAGTAGTAGTAGTAGTAGTCGTGGTGGTGGTAGTAGTAGTAGTAGTGGTAGTAGTAAGAATAATAATAAGAATACTCGTAATATTTATTTTAATAGTAGTACACCACAATGCTTACTCCGAAGTTCAGTGTTCGTAATGCTGCTGGTTTTCGACAGCTACTACCTTCTGCAGTGGTCGGTGGGCTGTTTATGGTGACCGTACAATCGACTTAATGTCGCCGTCTTCGTGAGCATGTTCTCGACATTGCTATGGGGGGTCAGCAGCGATAATTGGCAAGGGAGACGCAACGCTCCAGCAAATAGGTCAATTCGTTGATGGACCAACCGCACATAGAACCCAAAGCCCCAAACACTCCAAAGCCACAGCTAGACTGACCATGATACCCTTGCAACGGCAAGAGGATTGCCCGAATATGATTTTGCCTTCATATCTAATCAAGCTACCTTCATAGTTTCCTTAAGTCAGCTCTAAGCTTCAACCAGGAGGCAGGGATGCGAAAAGGCGTGTCAAAGCCCAGGTAAAAAGGAAGCGCGCTGCTAGAATCGACTGATGATGACTGCAAGGATCATGCTAAAGCTCAGCAGCAAACCCCGAACATCTACTGTATATACTGCCTGTTGTTGGCAAAGACTTTGGCTTCCTTCATACCCACAGACCTTCAAGCCAAGTAGACGCGAACTTTACATTTTATATATATATATATATATATATATGGATGAAAAAAGCGCACCGGTGGAGTCCAGGGCCTGGTACGTCCAGAGACCACAATCAGGACCTTCCAGGGTAGAACTCAAGGGTCCACGGGCTTCATCAACGTCACCCAAAGGCTCCATGTACCCTAGGATACCCAGTAACCTAAGAATAAAAAGGCCTCTCTTTTTGGTATTGGGTAACTCTATAAGGAACCTAGGACTACAAAAAGGGAATAAGGGGTACTGCTGGGCATCCTAGTACCTTTATCGTAGATGCTTAGGCCTTAAAGGGGTCCCTATATAGCTACTTTAAGGCCTTAGTATATACTGTGAGGGTACATGGAGCCTTAGGGTTATGTAATGTCCTCATCTAAACTGCAGCGGCCCTCCATGCAGAGTTTAGGGATGAGGGCGTAGCGTCTAGGGTTTAGGGCCTGGGGATTTCAGGATTTTGGCATGGTTTGGGGCCTGGAGGTTTTCCTTAACCTGCCAAACCCCCGTTTTTTGTAGGGTCCCCATAGACTCCATATTGGGGCTCATAATAAGAACCTACACAAAAAGCAGGGTTTGGTGGGTTAAGGTAGGGATTAGGGTTTGCTGCATGGGCAGCTTGAAGCGCGAACGCTAATGTGAGGATGTTGGACAGAGTCTCGAAGGGGATCTGTGAAACGGATTCCCAGGCTTGTGGGGAGTTCGAAGCAAGGCTGAGCAATTCTAGCCATAGAAAACTTCGCCTGGCAAGCGGGAACCAGGGCCCGAAACCCTAGAACGCCTAAAACGCCTACGCGCCTTGCGGCGGATCCCTTCAAATGCGTTTTCCGAAGCATTCCCGTAGTGGAAGCCCTGTAGGAACCCCTGCACAGAGCCGGCCCGACCCATCCCCATCCCCTCCTGCCCTCACCAAAAAACGAACAAGCCACAAGAGCCCAGAAGTTCCATGAGAGTTTCATGCTTCAAGATCCAAGCCTGGTATGCCTTCTGGCTCCAGGGCGCTGGTGATGCGCACCCAAGGTCCTGCCAAAGGATCCAACAACAACAAACCGGAGCCACGATCCTTTCGCATTGAACACTGAGCCCTAGTTGTAAGGATCTCTCTGTTGCTCTTCAAAAGGGGTCTAATATTCGCGTAAACAGAGGCACGCAGCGGACGGGATGGGGGGTACCTGAGAAGGCCACGAATACACACTAAACCCGACTATCTTTACCGTAAGTCCCACGCACTAAGCCCCAACGCCCAAAGCCCTGAGGCCCGTATGCCAAGTCTCAAACATCCCCATGCATGAATTGAACCTGCAGTTTCTGATTACGAACATGAAGTCCGGGATTAAGGTTTAATGCGTGGACGTAGGGTGCCAAGCTACATTGCTGAGGATGTTTGAAAAAGCTACCCGTCGATATGGGTCGATACATCAGGCCTGCACGAACTTCGACGTTGCCGAAACGAAGGGTATCTTTGCTACTTGGATTTCTCGGGTATGCATCACCTTGTACTTGTGGTTAAAGGCCGCTCATGAGTCCATTAGTTCCGTAACCCAGCTGAGAATGGAAACATCAATATAACGACATATCAAGTGCATTACATGTTCATCGAACCTCCAGACACTCTAGGCAAATTTGGGCATTTAGACGATGGAGTGCAGGGTGTCTGCGAAAGCCTACGCCAATTCGGCGTCTGGCCTCTGATGCAAAGCATACCATTGCAGTGCTTGGGGGGCGGGGGGTTGTGAGGAGATCTAGACGGTCGGCTCAGTGCATCCAGTGACAGGTTAGTGTTTCATGCACCTTCTGTCACTCATCCTAATTCCTGAGCCCAGTTCCTGCACCTGACGCTGAAATTTGACCCTGCTGCCCTGTTGCCTTCGGGAAGCTGAGTCATGGCTGGAGTACCAGACGAGAGCCAGTCGTCACCCTCCTGCGGAAAACATCAGGGTGATCCATGCGGAGGCTACGGAAGAGATGGTCCAAATTTTGGTCCGTCTTACAAGATCCGTCCAAGGGCAAGCAAGCGAAAAACAACAAAAACTGTGGTCAAGGGGACGCCAGGTTTGATTCCACTGTGCAGGGGAGCACAGTGATAATACAACTCTCCTAAGCTCTTAAACACTCACCTACACTACCTGCGACTCAACAACCTAACAATGCAGTACTTGGACCTCTTGTGCTAGGCCCTGACGATGTATAGTTTCTGGCTCACTCGCATTTACACTGCACGTTCTTCTGCATTTGAGGCGCAGGTTTCAAAGTGGGGCTTTTGGCTTCCCGAAGTTCACGGCTATGGAGGCTGCTTACTCAAGGGTTTCGGTTCGGGGTGTTTGAGTTGCGGTTCCGCATAAAGGCCAAGCAACGATGTGTAGTAGGACGTACGATGCAGTACTGCAGGACAGATAGACATCATGACGTAAGCCTAGCCCCTCAACTCTTGATACTTGAGACAGCCCACAGGACCGGAAACCTCAAGCCCGAGACACGTGTTAATTCTCAAGCCCAGACGGCATTGCCGGTGAGTGGGG